CTCGGCTGGCAGACAGCCCGGGCACCGCCCCGCGCCCAGGCTGCCCCCATGATGACCACGCAGCTTTCCTAATGGAAGGCGCTCGCTGGGCCGCTGCGCTTGGAGCACTTTAGCCTCCAGGACAGCAGACTGCTGATGGCCGGACCGGGCTTCCTGGGCGGCGGCGGCGGGCGCCATGTTAATGCGAGGCCCAATTCCATCCGCTCGCAAACTTTCCCCCGCCTCCTGCTGGCCCGAACCCCCTCCTCCCAATAAAAGATTGCATCAGAGAGAAAGGGAGAGATTTCCATAATTTATAGTATGGGCATTTCACTGGGGACCAGCACTAATCTGTACTTACCGATACATTTAAGAAAATGCATCCTCCCGCAAGCCTGCGCCATTTACGACTCCTGGCGCAAACCGCAATGCTCAGTCTTCAATTAAGGGACACCTTGGGGTTCATTATCACACAATCGCTCCTGTGAACCATGCCAAATGCTGTTTTGGCACGGAGCTCGGAAGATGAATTAGAAGGAAGTCTTCTGTAATGCCCTCTCCCGTTCCCCATTACGTCCTCCCTCGCCCTCTCCCTGGCTTTTACTATTCAATTTCTCCACGTCAACCTCGATTCTCTAGAGGTGTAGTTAAAGATGCCACGTCTCCTTTCTGTCTTCCGGCTCTCAACAGGCCGCAGGGTGGCCCAGCTGGGCCGCTCACCACCCCCTTTTGGGCCGAAGGAGCCACAGATGCGTCTTTTGCCTCCTAATGCCTGCGTGCACAGGCGGGAGCTGGAGAGTTCCGGGCAGGACCAGACAGATGCGCTGGGGACAACTGAGCACAAAGCCAGGCTGGTGGAACAGGAAGAGCCTAAGACCGACCACTCCGACTGCTGGGCAGGGCACCCCCAGCCCAGGCCCTCCGGGAGGACGCTCCCTTTGTTCCCTTCCTGAAAACAGCATTTAAGACGGCAGCCACAGGTGATGGGGCTGGGGAGCCGGGAGGCCGGAGCCAGGAGGGACGGAGCCTCAGGGTCCCCAGCCTTCGCAGCAAGAGCACACAGACCAGAGATACTGCGTCCACAGGACCGTGTCTTGTGGAATTTTATTATATAGAGTGTAAAATGAATTGTCAGTCAAATAAAAAGAACACCTTTTTAAAACAACATGCATAACATTCTCCAATTCCTTTTTAATAGTTAGACATTTCAAGCATTGTAAGGAAAATAAGGAGGAAAAACCAGAAACTAACTTCAGTACATTTCAAACGGAATGTCCCTCAGGTCAATTAAAAATGCAAGAAAAAATAGCTTCGATTCCGTTTTTTTTTCTTTAAAAATACATGTTATCTGTACAAGATACACTACAGTAAACATCAGAAATCATATCCCTTTATTAAATCACAATTATTTAATTCATACTGCGGTTAATACTAGGTTTATTTATTCATCTAGTTAATCTGACAAATATTAAGAAAATATTTAAAAGAAAAAAGCAAAAAACACCTTGGAATTAAAAAATAGTTACTACATTTTATACGGTTTAATGTTCCACAGTGTGTGTTAAAAGTTATATTGATTTTCTTTTTAATATTAAAAATAACAGTATTTGTATTTCTGAGAGAATAAAGGTTTTTGTCTTGTTTTAAAACCAGCTTGGAGGTCTCAGACACACAAGTGCAACCGGTGATGAGACGTGAACACAACGTCTGCTGAACACCCTCAGGCGATTCTCACCCTCAGAACTCTAGAAATCACACAGACCCTCCAAAATGCAGCTCCCGACCCCTGCTGGGCAGTAATACAGTTATCTGTCTCAATTCAGAGTTCACATAATTAAGTACAATACATAATAGTTCAGGTTTTTAAAAAAATGCAATAAAACCAGAGAGCCAAGATACAAGAAATTAGAAGTAAAAACACTTAATGAATTTACACATTTAAGAATATTTAAATACTGTTTAAAAAAAATTTTTTAAAGAATTTGTTACATACTAAGACTTCCAAGCCACTTTCTGTTGCAACAGAAAACAACAACAACAAAAAACCGACCTGTAAATAAAAAGACAAAAACAAAACAGAACAAAACAAAAATCACCATGTTGAAATGTCTGCTCCTAGGCACTCCGGCCCCTGGATTTGCAGTAGGGCTCTGAAAAGAATCACAGAGCTCACACGTTTGAAATAACAAACAGAAACAAGGAAACAAAAATTATCAGCAATTTTTAGTAACTAATTTTCCCGATTTTTAGAAATACTCTGTTAATCTAAATATAGTGTTTCACAGAACAAAACAAAGGTTCTTCATCAAAAGGTCGGCGAATCTGAACCTCTGTCAGGCACAGGCCTCCTCCTCCTCCTCCTCCGGATCTGGAGGGAGCGCAGCGGCGGCGGCTCTACTGCTCCTGCAGACCGACAGGAAGGGGAGCGGACGTCAGCCAGGCCAGCACCTGCGAGACGGCCCTCGGGTGTGCGTGGCCAGCCCCGGGAGGTGGCCGCCCCAGGCCGCCCGAAATGCCCCGCAGGAGCCCCTCCTCCCTCCCCACAGGTAGGAGCCCAGAGCCGGCTCTGGCCACCAGCCTGCAGGTCTGCGTGTGCCACTGCGCCCCTCACTGCCTGGGGCTGGCACAGACTTTCAGAGCAGCAGCCAGAGCTGGCGGTGCCGGACAGACCGATGCTCAGCTCGCCAGGGGGACTCAGACCCCAAGGGAAGGGGAGCACCCTCCTCGCCGGCAACCCGGCCCAGACACACGGCTGCAGCTGGGCTCAGGAGTTGCAGCCCTGGGGCGGCTACGGACCTGGCTGTGGGCCTGCGCCTGCCCTAGCGTCTGCCCGTAGAAGGCCACCTGCTGCCGGTAGTACTCCGCCCAGGCCATCGTGTAGTCCGGCGGCGAGCTGGCCTGAGGGGCCGCGCTGGCGGCGTGACCCGCGTGACCTAGCGACAGAGGAAACGCCAGTTTAGTGGGAGCCAGCAGAGCCAGGAAGCTGCCCTCTCCGGAGGCCCCACTGCCCGCTCACAGCTCTGGGGGTGCCCAGCACGGTGTCCACTTAGTGTGCCCCAATCGCATCAAGAGCTTGCGACAACGGCCTCGGGCACCTGGGGAACAATGGGCACCGACTCCCGCGCAGCCCCCTCGGCGATGACCAAGGGGCTCTAACACCAGAGAGCGGCGCTCAGGCTCCCAGCCCGTGGGGCTCCTTCCCAAGGTCCACGGCCCCCCCAGCTGCCCGACAGGTGGGCTGCAGTGGGACCACTAGGGAGCAGGACACCTGGATCCGCGCTGGCAAGGCCGTGCCAGGCAGGGACCCCGGAGGGAGGGCCCGCTCGGCACTCACTCTGCTTTTTGTAGTAGTCCTCCCAGGCCTTGCTGTAGTCGGGCTGGCTGCTCTGTGGCTGGCTCTGCTGGCCTGTGCGGAGGGCAGGGTGTGAGCCGCCACACCCTCAGCCACTCACCCTGTCTCCCCGACGGATGGAGTCCAGACACGCAGGTCACGCGTGCAGGGCCCACGAGACTGTAGCCGCGGCAGCAGGAGAGGGACGGGGCACGGGGGTCACCTTCCTCCCTCCGAGGCCCACCAGGCCCCACGCTCCGCCCCTCCAGCGTGGTGGCCGCAGGCCGCCCTCCACCTTGCTCAGGACCTCACAGCCGTGGGGCTGAGGAGCACTGGACAGGGGCAGCAGGGAGAGTTGCTGCCCTTTCCCCCGGCAGACGACTCTGCTTCCACCCCCGACACAGCCCACGGTGCCCGTCGCCCCAAGGAGAAGGCCACACTCGCCGGTGGCTCTCACAGGTCCTCAGGCACAGGAGGCAAGAGGAAGGGACCCTATCACCCTGCAGACGAGGAGACACAACGGGAAGGCGGAGGCGGGGGCCGGGGCCGGGGCCGGGGCACACTGAGGGCAGCAGATGCAGAGCCCAGGCAGTACAGGAGCTCACAGCACACTTCTGCCAAGGTCCCAAGTGTCACGCAATGAAATATTGAGGGGAAGAGAGAAACACAATCACAGAGCTCTAGAGCTCAAGCACCCGACTTCCGGGACCAGTGGAGCTGAGTGGGTGCCAAGGCTCTGCTCTGGGTCAGGCTCTGCAGAGAATGCTGGGCTCTGGGGGTCCACGCAGGGACGGGACGGGACGGGAGGCCTGGCACGGCACCGAGCCCGCTCCTCACGGCCAGCTCCTCGGGAGATGCTGCAGTGGTGGCGGGACTAGGGCACACGCGGTGGGCACCAAGCGCCCTCTCGGTCATCACGGGAGCCAAGTCATCCCAGCAGCTGGGCATCTGCTAACGGGGGTTGTTTTTTCTAAACTAAAACCTCAGCATTCAGGTTTAATCGCAGTGCTGGCACTTTGGCATGAACAAGTGAGTTTGGGGCTGCAGCCTGGGCGCTTGTCTCTGAAAGGTTCGCCACCACTATTCCCGAGAGACACTGGCAGGGGCCACCGTCAGGAGAGGAGGGACGGTCTGCGCCGCCCTTGGAGGGCCTGGGACCAAGGCACGGCAGAGGCTTGGGCTGACAGGGAGCAGAGTGACAGCCCCACCCCCGGACACTTACTTGGGACCTGCTGTGTGGGCTGCTGCCAGGCCTGGTAGGTGCTGCCCCAGCCCTGCGTCAGGAAGGCCGGAGGGCCGCTGTGGATGACAGCAGAGTCACTGGCACCTGAGCGTCAGCCCACCAGCCCGGCCCACCTCCCTCACCCACGCACCTACCTCACGGGGGTGCTGTGGGGGTTTCCGTTCACCTTAGCAGCGAGGTTGGGGAAGCAGCCTGAGCCCCTCGGAGGAAAGGTGCTGTGGGAAGGGATGGGCACGCGAGGCCCTGC